CGAAACATGTCGTCATTATAGAGTTTTGCACAATCTGGGTTGTCTAAAAGATGTTGACCAATGGCAGAATCACTTGTTTTAACAGTGTTTCTAGACCTACAAGATCGAGGAGGCTGTTCTCTTTGAGGGGCAGTTTTGTTTCGTATGTTGGAAGGAACATGCTGTTTTATCCTATCCCCCAATCTTTGGGTTGTGCGCCCTACGTAGCCAGAATCACACTGGCACGTAAATTCATAAATGACGGAACTTTTTTGTTTGGTAGGGACGCAATCCTTTTGAATGGATGGAAGGGCTCTCCTAGTGCTGTAAACAATCCGAGGATTGACAGCAAAGAAACAATTGGTTATGGCTTGCCTAATTTGACTCTCGAATCGCAAGGAAGTGTTACCAATCCATGGTAGTTTCAAATAAACTGGGCACTTTTGCGGACCAAACTTTTGAACAGCCGAAAAACTTGCGATCTTCTCCTTAGTATAAGATAAAATGACGTCTTCAGGATAGCCGTTGTCCAAGAAGATCGTTATGAGTTTTTCCAGTTCAGCGTGCAGTTTAGATTTCGAGCAGATCATAAGTGCCCTATGTACTAATGTTTTGACAAGGTTGACTTTGCGTTGTTTTGGCAAAATGAATTCCAGCGTATGTACTGACCGGTAAAAGTAGGCTTGCGATATACACTGGTAAGAAATCCAGTGTTAGACTTTTCGACCAAAACATCTAAAAATGGTAAGGAATCATTTTCTTCCTTTTCAAACGTAAACTGGAGGGCTGGGTGAAGGCTATTTAGGTGTTTTAGAAAAGTATCACACTCAGCCTCTGTTTCGAAAATGGTATATGTGTCATCTACATACCGAAAATAGACACCTGGCTTTTGGTCGTAGTCGAACAAACGCTCTTCATGAAAGCCAACAAAGATATTGGCCAAGGCAGGTCCCAGAGGGCTACCCATAGCGACACCATCCTTTTGTTGGTACATTTCATTGTTAAAACTGAATTCAACTGAACGTGTTGCAGTTTCCATCAGTTCAATGAATACTTCCTCTGGGAATGGTGGGCTATTAAGCTCGCTCCGGTACAAAGCGTCGGCACATATTTTGATGGTCTCACTCAAAGGAACATTTGTGAAAAGACTACTAATGTCAAAAGAACACATGAAAGATGTTTCGTTTTCGATGTTCAAGTTTTGCATGAACTCAGCGAACGTAAAAGAATCCTTGATGCAATGTTTTGAATAATATACACGTTCAGTTGAATTCAGTTTTAACAATGAAATGTACCAACAAAAGGATGGTGTCGCTATGGGTAGCCCTCTGGGACCTGCCTTGGCCAATATCTTTGTTGGCTTTCATGAAGAGCGTTTGTTCGACTACGACCAAAAGCCACGTGTCTATTTTCGGTATGTAGATGACACATATACCATTTTCAAAACAGAGGCTGAGTGTGATACTTTTCTAAAACACCTAAATAGCCTTCACCCAGCCCTCCAGTTTACGTTTGAAAAGGAAGAAAATGATTCCTTACCATTTTTAGATGTTTTGGTCGAAAAGTCTAACACTGGATTTCTTACCAGTGTATATCGCAAGCCTACTTTTACCGGTCAGTACATACGCTGGAATTCATTTTGCCCAAAACAACGCAAAGTCAACCTTGTCAAAACATTAGTACATAGGGCACTTATGATCTGCTCGAAATCTAAACTGCACGCTGAACTGGAAAAACTCAAAACGATCTTCTTGGACAACGGCTATCCTGAAGACGTCATTTTAACTTATACTAAGGAGAAGATCGCAAGTTTTTCGGCTGTTCAAAAGTTTGGTCCGCAAAAGTGCCCAGTTTATTTGAAACTACCATGGATTGGTAACACTTCCTTGCGATTCGAGAGTCAGATTAGGCAAGCCATAACCAATTGTTTCTTTGCTGTCAATCCTCGGATTGTTTACAGCACTAGGAGAGCCCTTCCATCCATTCAAAAGGATTGCGTCCCTACCAAACAAAAAAGTTCCGTCATTTATGAATTTACGTGCCAGTGTGATTCTGGCTACGTAGGGCGCACAACCCAAAGATTGGGGGATAGGATAAAACAGCATGTTCCTTCCAACATACGAAACAAAACTGCCCCTCAAAGAGAACAGCCTCCTCGATCTTGTAGGTCTAGAAACACTGTTAAAACAAGTGATTCTACCATTGGTCAACATCTTTTAGACAACCCAGATTGTGCAAAACTCTATAATGACGACATGTTTCGGATAATTGGCAGAGCCCGGTCGTCCTTTCATCTAGCAGTTTTGGAGTCAATCTACATAAAAACGAAAAAGCCGCCATTGTGTAGACAAAAGGAGTTCGTTTTCTCTCTTGGACTCCATTGGTAATTTTTCTTTAGGCTCGCGGCACTGATTGGTCAACTATACCGGTCTTGTGCTTGCGTTTTTCTGATTGGCCTATTTCGATCCACAACTGGGTATATATTTTTCAAACGTGTTTTTTCGGAACCTATTCTGACGTTTTATGCTCTGAGGAGTGTCAGACGAAAAAGCTTTAAGTATGTTGTAAAATGTTTGCTTTTTTCAAAGCCATAATGCATATCCTTTTATCAGAAAACTAGAAAATTTTGGTATTTCACTTTATACTGGAAGAAAACAGCTCACCCCATACAATCTTTGAGCATTCTTACCAGTAACCATCAGGTGATTCAATTTTTTCAAATGTAGAATAAGACTTAGATGACGTAATGGTAGAAGACTTGGTTTGTTAATCAATTGCTTTTTTGCTTGCAAAAACAGTTGTTATAAATCAGAATTGAAATGGGTTTTGAAATTTCCCACATTTGAAATTTTTATAAATTTGGTTGCTTGCATTTGTTTCGAATATAAAAGCAATAAAGTGTTTAACAATTTCTTGAAAATGAATTGACTTAATAACTTGCAGAAACTGTTGCTATTTAAGATGTATTAATTACAACAATTTTTGCTGCAAACTTATTGCTTTAACATTCTGCAAAAGCAATTATTATTCAAAGCTATAAAATAAATTAATCTGCATATAGAATATATTTCTTTAATTAACTGTATGAACTGTTTTTTATTAGATATTTGTTATAAAATGCTTCAAATCACTTGCTGCACATCAATTGCTTTATCAACTAGCGCAAAAGATTTTTTTTCTGAAAAAGTTTTGATAAATATGCTTCATCAAATAGAATAAAATTTTATTTATTGATCATTCTGTACAAGCTTTTTATTGAACAAACATTGAAGATTTTGATTGAACTGAACTTATTAATATTTTGTAAATTTACAGATCAATTAAACTGGAAAAATATATTGTTTACATTATCCAAATTAAAAAAAAGGTATAATGATTTCTTGAAATGATCATATTTGTCACTAGGTTAAATGTTCAGCGCAGCAAATATAAAGAATTAATTTTATTCAATCATTTTTTCAATTAACCGCTTTTTCAACCTGTGTATGATTTTTAATGCATTTACATTGAAAACGTTTCAGGGACGTCAAATGTCGGGAGCAAGGCAAATGGCAACACTTTGTAGAATAGTAGAACCTTCTTTATCAACCTGTACAACATACCCCAACGTAATTGCATTGAAATACAGTTTTTAATTTACAGAACGCCGTGAACTAGTCCAAAGCAATCTCAAAGATACTTTTTGCCAGCCTTTTTTCTTAAGAGTAAAACTGATTAAAGTAAGCCCAGTTTCAAGCAAAATAAAATACTCCCTAACTTTACATATATTCAAGAAAAAGTCTCAGAATTCAAAATTGTACTTGTGATCTTCGCAAGGAATGCGTATGCAACAACGGTTATAATTGATTTACATTATATTTAGCGCTGTTAATTTAAATTAGTTGATTCTTATTAGCTTGAGTGTAGCTGGAGATTATGCCAACTTAATTTGAGATTTTTTGGTGACTGAAGAAAACGGAATTTGAGACTCTTGCAGCCAATGGATAAAGCTTGTTGCAGGGGAAAATATGCCTTCTTGTGAAATACCACTTCAGTTTTTGGCATGGCAAAATTCTGAGATACGTTGTAAAGTGATATTGAAAATTAAATGCATGAAAAATTTGGACTATATATTCGGTCATAATTTGGGATAGACGAGTCTTTAGAAACTTAGTATTTGGAATTTGACGTTATAAAGGGGCATTACATGCAAGTCTGATTTTGAACAACAAACTCTTCATGTTCCATTATGAATTTTACTTCGACAGTGATTTAGGTTTTAAGGCTCCTTGGGCAAAACTTTGACCACTTATGCACTAGCACAGAATTTAGATTAGATGTTTTGTGACACTAGTGTATTTGCTGTTTGTTAGAACAGGTATTAACTTTGCATTGCATAATTAGACCTAACATACTTTGCGTTGGTCCTTTGTGTGCATCTGTATTTAGTTTTACCAGCTTTTTATATGCATTTGCTGCTGCCATCAGCGTAGAATGTGCCAAGATCGAGCAAATAACCATTTATAGAGCAATATAGAACAAAGTGTTAAATTAGTAAAGGAGAGAAAATAGAAAACTCTTTTGCATCACTCCTTAATATCAGTTTATGTTCCACGTTACGTGTATAATCATTGCAGCGTAGCAATACATGCATGAAATCCTTTTGTATGATCATTTTTAAGCTTGAATTGGATTTTCTGAAGATCAAGGAGACTATAATATCGTAAGTCAAATAACAAGACTATCATTCATGTCACTTCCTAACACGATAAAGTGGTCTTTGCTTTGCTATATATAACCAAGTCAGAACAATAAAGACAGTTTGCAGAATATATATTTATGATGTATTTTCTGCTTTTTGTTGTCAAAAATTTTGTTGACAGCTCTTAGAGCTTAAAGAAAAAAACAAGCTATTAATCCTTGAAAGAGTCTTTGTAAATAATCTTTCAGAAAAAAAGTTGATTTTATGTAATTCAAATCTCTTGAATGAAGCACAAAGCACAAACCAAAAAAATTTCAGCCTTCGCCCCTACTGTTCATAATTAATGTACTTAATTGATAGAAAAACATAAATTTTGTACTTAATAGATAGAAAAACATAAATTACAATGAGGGTTACTTCTTGATAAATTTTGAAGATTCCATGAAAAACTGGTAACATAGTCTGCTGAAGTTATTTGCGTTCGACAATCTTCAGAGTATAATCAAATGATAATGACCAATGGTAGGCAGAAAATTTACATTCAAGTATGGATCGACAGTGGCTCAAGAGAAAGAATAGGCCTTTTTTAAATCCGTGTTTGGCCAAAGAGAGAAAGCGAACTTTTGCTGTCGAAAGAAGCTAGATCAAAAGGCGATGGCTCATTTTCCATGGCAGACGATGGCAGCAATTTAAGATTTTGTGCAAACTGTCACTATTGTCTATTTGGCTGAAGATTGTCAGGCGAAAAGTACCTCAGCATGCTATGTTTCCAATATTTCATGCCATTTCCAAACTTTGCGGTACAGAAAATTCAAACATATAACATGAAATCTTCGTGCATTTTTAATGTCCTCTTTTGCTGATTGTAGCAGATATATTACATTTCTCTTCCAATGCATTCGTGCTTGCCAGAAATTGGAGAATAAATATAGATTGATCAAGCTTTGTTTCAGAATACATCTAAAATGGAAAGTTCATGTTAAAATAAACTTTTGATATCACAAAATGACAGAATAAATATCAAGCCTCTTTTTATTTGTTTCAACAATATAATTTCTATTAACAGAATAATATGCAGAAACTCTTAGCTTTTTAACTTCATGAAAATTCAACATAAAATTCAATTCAGGCTACACACGTTTTTAAGAATACAGTCTAGAAGAATGTTAATGCTCAATTTAAATCGCTGAAATTTAAAAATAATTCAACAATAATCAAAGGCTCAAGCTTCAATAAGAATTGGATATTGTGTTTATTTTAGTGTTTTGCAAAGCAAAACAAATGCGAGTTTAAAGATATATATTTATAAATAGACTTATCCGGCCTTGGATTCATTAATATTATAATGCGAATCAGTTTCACCTTTGGTCGCCAAAAAGTAATTAAAGAATAATCTTAGTCTCAAAAATAAAATGAAAATATACTCATAAATTTAACTGAGGTATACTCATTAAATACATCTCTATGACAGTACATATCTGTACAATCAAAAGTTGTACTAAACAATGTCAATGGCTTATATATCCTTGACTTCCAACACCAAAGTGTATGGACCCATTTTCAAGAAAACGGGTTTTGATAATGAAATCTTCTCTAAACTGCCATTTCCTCCACTAAAGCCGCTTAGAATCATTTTTTAGATCCATTTCATGGACATCTTACCTTTTCGGGACCATCGGAAGCCATCTTGCAAAAAGAGTTCTCTTCGACATTGCTTTTGGTCTTAAAAGACCTCCGTGCAAATTGGCCTGTGCATTTTTTCTCTTTAGATGTTTCTCTACAGGTTAATTCATTTTTCACATTGTTTGCCTGTATTATTGGGCCCCATTCTATTTGGTTTAGGCGATGAAATGCCAAAAGTAGTCAAAGCAAGAAAATCAGTTGCTTTATCAAAAGTAATGGTCCAATGAGCAAGATGCAAGTTACATTTACATTTCGTGACCAACATTAAAGGAGTAAATTTTCATGTGAATATACATACCTTCATAAACCTCAACCTCGCATACTTGGAGATATTCTTGCCTATTCAAAAAGATACTGACGTAACGACCCATCAGGACCTGTGGACAATCGAACTTTTTCAATTCACCACTTGCCAACCTTCCATCTTTCACACAAAGCGCATTGTTTCGTCCGCCATTTGATCTATCATCCCCAACACTGATATCGAATGGATTGATTTTTTGTTGACCAAAAGTTGCGCCATTCTTTATTTGGACACTTTTAACAGCAGCTTGCCTTGTAAGGTCCACTTGCCACCAGGGTACTATGTCAGCTTTTGTGATACTGCATAGCTGCCAGGCCCCATTTCTGTCACCGTCATTTCCAAGGCTGGCAACTAATGTGATTCTATTTATGGTGGCAGTTGATGAATGTGAGGACGGCTTTTTATATGCCAAATTCTCTACTGTTATCAAAATTATGGTCAGATTAAGAACAATGAATCTTAGTTTTGAAATTCATTGGATTCATGTTGATCGAAAAAACACATTGCATTCCTGTTTTTGGTAGAAGCATTTTGTTAATTTATGCAAAGTGTTACAGACTAACGTTTTAAAGACGTTTAACAATAGCATGATACAACATGAGGCATAACAACTAACCAATCACAAGAAGATCTGCATCCTGTTATCAACGACAAAACTTTATATATAAATCTCCTGTGGCCATATTCATAATAATAGTATTGAAGCTGTCTTTTAAAATTTAGATCAGTAATCACTTTTTTTACTTTTTTTGCCTTAGGTTTTGGTTTTAATAGACCGTTATTTAAGACAATTTGCATGTACATCAATTGTAAAAGATAACCTTGAGCTTCCATGTCAAATCCTTAATGAAAAGACAATCAATCAATGAGATATTTTTGTCGCATTATCTTTATTTTCCACTTTGGCATTTAGTTTGGATAATAATTTCACGTTTGAATTATATCTTATTTTTACTGTAACTTATTTACTGATCAGAATTATGCCAATACAAAGACCTGTGAAAGAAAACAATTTCGTTCTTCATTTAGAATTTGTCTGTACTTTTTAGGTGAAGACAAATATATAGAACTTTGTATTTTACAACAAGCCTGGTCCATATACTTAACCAAGAACCAAAAAAAGAAAGTTGGAATATTTGAAACAAACATGTAACAAACCAGCCACAAATAATTAGATTATTTGAAACATACCTTCATAAACCTCAAGCTCGCATACTTGAAGAAATTCTTTCCTGTTCAAAAACACACTCACGTAGCGACCCATCATCAGCTTTGGACAATAAAAAGTTTTCATCTCGCCACTAGCCAACCTTCCACCATTTACACAAAGCGCATTGTTTCTTCCGCCGTTTCAGCTATCTTTTCCAACACTAACATTGAATGGGTTTATATCATGTGTAGGCCAGGCTACAGAATTTGTTATCCGAACATGTGTAACAGCGGCTACCTTTTCAAGATTCACTTGCCACCAGGGCTGCTCTTCATAACTGGTGAAACTACATTTCTGCCAGTTTGCCGTTCTGTCACCATCATTTCCAAAGCTTGCAACAAGTTCTATTCCGTTATATGTATGGGTTGATGAATGGGAAGATGGCTTCTTATAGGCAATATTCTTTGCTGTGGGTGGAAGAAAATTTACAAAAAGTAATTGTATTAAAAACTCTTCTTATGCACAATACAAAACAAGGGCTTTTGTAAAACTATAAGGTTTTACAGATAAACGTAGACGAACGAAGGACAACAAAAATGTACATAATTTCTATTCGATATCCAAACGACGGCAATAAACTGGAACAAAAACGAGGATGTATCAAAACCTGACACTACAAATATTCGGCGACTCCACAATAACGATTTTGCGTAACGGCAACTTTAACACGACTAAAGGTAACGTCAACTTCAAATCGACAGAATTTACGAACAAGGGTACAGCAAATATACCACTTGACAAACAAACCCTAATTATGTTTTAACACGATAATTATATCAAACAAAGGGACTGATGAAAACAATAGTGTTGATGGGATGATGCAATGATATAGAATGTTGATGGCAAGGAAACAAACAACAGTACTGACGCAAACATTGGCACACAACACAATTAGTTTACTAGAAACAAAACATGCAAAACTGGTTGTATAGCACTTTGTACCCCAAAAGCAATGTAGTTGCTATTGTATTTACCAATGCATTTATACCCTGGGCAGTAGCAAGTGTCAATGCATTTATGTCCGGCGCTGCAAGGATCATTTGCTTGGCAATACTGACCAACCTGCAATGTAAAAATTTTATTTCATGAATGATCAATTGTTAGCCCTATCACAACATATCACGAGTGCTATATTAGTCTTGAAATTTACGAGAAAAAAAGCTCTTTTTCTTTAAGGGCATGTTTTTTGCAGAGCTAAAAAGATAAAGATTGAAAGCTGTGTTTGATGCTCATCTTGATCAATGACTTGTTGTTCTTCTTTTTTCTCTCTTTCAACTAATTTTTATATGTGCCCTTTTCGCAATTTTCTGTCACCAAATTAATTTTTAAATTTATAAAGTTAGTTGAATTTTAAATAGGTATTTGAAAAGAAAACTCACATTTTTCTCTTCAAAACGGGTTGAATAATATGTCCAACCCTCCTTTATTTGCGTTTCAATGAAATCTTTTGGATCCTGTGCTGATTTGCTATTCAACTGGCAAATACCAAGCTCTCTGTTTAAATTTATAGACTTGCATCGATGCTCCATGATGCATTCAAACTTACACATCTGCTCATCCAAGTTGTCCAAAGAACGAAATGTAGAACTAAGTGATTGATCATGAAGCACAGCAGTAAAATTGGCAAAGATCTTGCATGGCAGACGAAATATTTCTCCATTTGTATTTACAGAAATCACAAGCAGCAACAGTCTAAAAAATATTAGTACTGAATCAAGGCTTACTTTTTACTAGCCGTTTTCTACAAAGCAATTAGAAAATCTCTTTGTCCATTAAAGATATACACATAAAGAAGCCCATCAAACCTAGCAACAATAGTTGTTTTTAAGCATAAAAAATTTTGATGATAAAGTTTCGCGAATCAAAAAAAGGCTTACAGAAATTATTTATAAATATCATCTTAGATAGAATTATTTCTCACAAGAAAATCTTCCGTTAGAATGCTGAACTACGTTTAATCATCCGGAGGAAAGTACTTCGGAACCTAAGCCTAATACGTTTTTTTTTGTCTTCACAAGCAAAACTTTAATAAAGCTGTTACACTTTCAAGACCACATATTCTCTAAAGGCTAACAGAGTTTTAGATCTACTTCGAGACAACCTTTGCTATAAATTAAAACTTTATGTAAGAAAATGAAACAGTAA